AAGGCTGTGCAGGCATTGAGTGTGATAGACCCATCAAGGCCCTGTGAACGGGATATTCCTGTGACTGAAGACGGTTATGGCTGGGGTCTCTGGCAGTGGCTTGAATGAACTGGCCAACCTATTGGATTCTGGTCACAACTCTGGAAAGGGGCAGAGGTACAATACACTTTGATAGAAAAACAACTGGCTGCCATGTATCATGCCTTATTGGCTACAGAACCCATCACTAAAATGGCCCCTATAAAGGTAATAACCACCTACCCATCTTGGGGTGGGTATGAGACTGCACCCAAAAGCCCAGGAGTGGTGTAGCACAAACGTCCACACTAGCTAAGTGGGGTGCTTACCTACAGCAGTGTAGTGGCCTCTCTGCTGGCCCCTTGAGTGAAGAACTCCAACATTTATTGGGGCCAGTGACATATACTAATGAAAAGCAGGAAGAACTTGCTTTTGAACGATTAGTAGCAGAGTCCCTATTAGGAGGGAAGAGCCCCTATACCCAAAGATGCATGGTACACAGATGGCTCCAGCTGTGGGCAGCCCCCAAATTGGAGGGCCATAGCTTTCCATCCTAAGACTGAGACAATAAGGATGGAAGATGGTGAGGTGAAGAGCAGCCAATGGGCAGAGTTGTGGGCCATGTGGCTTGTGATCAGCCAGGAACTCTCCCCTATAGTTCTCTGCACTGACAGCTGGGCTGTTTATCAGGGTTTGACCCTGTGGCTACCAACCTGGTACCATGCCAACTGGCTGGTTGGTCACCGACCCCTTTGGGGGCAAGAATTGTGGCAAGACTTATGGGTCTGTGGTCGGACTAAAATAATTACAGTATACCATGGAACACATCATTTGCCACTGCCATCCCCCAAGAAATGATGAATCAGATAAATTGGCCCAGATAAATTGGCCCAGTTGGTTAGAAGGAAAGCCTGCCTCTGATATAACCCAATGGTCACATCAGTGTTTGTTGCATGCAGGGCAAAAGACAGCGTGGGCTATAGCCCATCAGTGGGGCTTGTCTTTGACCTTTGAAGAAGTTAGTAGAGCCAGGCAGGAGTGTGTCATGTGCTCCAAAAGGGACTTAAACTGAACACTGAGTTCCACAGCAACATGGGACAATAGCTAAGGGGCCAACACCCCTTGTCAGGTGGCAAATAGACTATATTGGGCCCCTACCTGTGTCAGAAGGATATCGGTATGCTATGACTTGTGTGGACACAGCTACTGGACTTCTGGTTGCCCTTCCTACCCATTGTGCAGATCAGCAGATGACCAAAAGAGGCCTGGAGCGTCTCTTTGCTGCCTATGGCTGACCACAGGTAATTGAGAGGGATCAGGGCACCCATTTTACTGGACATACACTGCAAGAATGGGTGCAACAGCTGGGAATCAAATAGAAGTTTCATGTGCTGTACAAGCCTACTGCAGCAGGCATCACAAGAGGCACATGGCTTGTTAAAATCTGGACTAAAGTCAGATACCAATAGTCTGCGGGAATGGTCAGTCTGCTTATGGACTGTGCTACGGCATTTGAACGAGAGACCCCAAAAGAGAGCCCTGAGCCCCGTAGACATGTTAACACATATGGCTGCATCCCCTATACAACTGCAAGTACAAACCAAGGAAGAAACACTGAAGCTGAGGTTTGGCTACCAGAATAACATCTTGCTGCCAGCACCAACTGCACTGAACTCTGGAGACTCCATTGAGCGGACATGGCCTTGGACCTTTTGACACATGGACCAATGATGGCTGGCTCTCCTGGCACCTTGGGGACAAGGCCTGGAAGCTGGCCTCCTGTGTATTCCTGGAATAACAGCAGAGTGGCTGCCAAAGGTCACAGTACTGTATCCTGAATGGCCAGAAGGTAGGAGCATCTTACTGGGGAGTTTTGTTTTATCATTATGGCCAGTGCATGCACCTAAAGTAGCACTATATATAGACCCTTCAGTAACCCCCATGGGGGAAGGAGTAAAAGTATGGTATACTAGACCTGGAAGGGCCCCCCTTCCTGCTATAGTCCTATCACAGGACTACTCTCTTGCATGCATCCTACCTGATGGACAAGATTTGCCTATGTTGGTGGCATTAAAACATGTGTCTTATTGCCCCTAAAGTCTTTGTGGATTGGGAACTTCCTCTGTCTTGAGGATTATTATAATTTTTTTGTTATTAGGAAACTCCGCTGGCTTGAGGATTATTACAATTTTTTTGTTACCTGTATCAAAATCTTCTTGTATCTTAATTTTTGTTATTATCTCTAAGTTGTTGTTATCCTCTGTTGCTATTGTGGAATCTGGTTACAGTGCTTCAGCTTTCTCGCACAGGGACTGTTGCAGAAGATTGAAAGCATGTAGATTGTACGGTGAGAATCCTGGAGTGTGGGAAAGTTGGGGTTCCTATGGCCAGAATCCTCACTGAACTTAAACCACCTGATGATGTAACTTGCCTGTTGCTAGGCTACCACTTTCACACCTTTAGGCAATAAGCTATTATTGCATTATATGGAGAGCTCAGCCTAGTGCTCAACCTACCACCGGGAGAACAAGCCAGGTAATAAACCCTTTCACCCCCAAAGAACGTTTTGCTGTCAATTTCTTTGGTCACATTGAATCCATAATGAACTTGCCTGGGGCTGAAACCCATTGGCAAAACACCTTGGCAGCCTGAAGTTTTCTGGGAGGACAAGGGAGCTGCTCTGATAACAACCAGCCTGGGGCAACAGGAACTGGCTTCTTTCTTGGGACAGTAGACAGAGCCTGGAAACCCTGCTCAGGGGGGTGGACTCCTGTGGGTAAAGCGGAAGTGGCAAACTCTGGGGAACTACTACCCAGCCTTTATTTATTTAGTATGCACTGTAGTTTGGAAACATTTAAATTCGTTGCTAAGATTTAGAACCCAGGAGCTTTCATGTGACACTGTGCCTACAGTCCTGGCTGGGCGACAAGCAGGGAACCACCCACCATCTGCCTAGTGGTCAGGCACGAGTCCTGCAGCTCCTCATTCTGCACCCGGCTCCCTGCACTCACTTCCAGGGTTTCCAGCCGGGCCTTGTAGACATGCGTATTTGTGTTCTCAAGCTGGGGGACCCCACACAAACTCTGGGCTTGTGTATGCAACTTCCAGAGCTCCTACCAGCCCATTTACTCACCTACCAGTATCTGCATCCTCATACCACAGATGCAAACTCCTTTTATTACAGATAAACTATCCTTGCTCTCACCTAAAGCCAATCCATCTATGGTAAACTAGATGCCACCTCTCTGGTGCACTCAAGGACATCATTGCAGCAATTCCTTGTCTCTCCTCTACATTATCACCTTTTCTTCCTCTACTAGGTCATATCCTTGTTGGGCCAGAAACACACAGCCATTTCTCCCACCTTAATACAAACCTCTCAATTCTACTTGCCCAGCCTGTCACTACTCTAGTGCTCTGCTCTCCCGGACCCCTAAACTCCACTAAAGGGTCATCTACACCACTGTCTCCAGTTCCTCTCCAGTGACTTAAAATGGTGACTCCAGTAAGGCATCAACCCCTATCACCCACCTAAAACTGCTCTTGACAAGATCACCAATACTCAATCCATGTTACTAAGTCCTGGAGTGAATTTCCAGGCTTATATTACTTGGCATATCAGCACTATTTGTCAGAGCTGACCCTCCCCACTCCTAAATACCTTCTTCACTTGGCTTCTAAAACATCTGAGTCACTGCCACTCCTTTTCACTCTCCTTTGCAAGAAGCCCAACTTCACAAATTTGTTGGCCATGATCTACACTTGCTGCTGGCCTGCACTGTAGTTCGGAAACATTTAAGTGAGGGCGCCAGTGAGTCTAGGTGCCAAGCATCAAAATGTTATACTTGATGGAACATTGTTTCATAAAATACTTTATCCTTTGTGTGCTTCTGTCACTGAGCTCTCATTGCTCCTCCACAGAGACAGCACATGGCAGTGGGTAGGGGACGTGGTGGGTGTCCTGCAGACGCCTCTCACCCAGCAAGGGGGAAAGGACAGCCAGGCTGGGCCACACTGTGCTGCACTGTAGCTTCTCACTCAGCTGGATTAATACCGCAGCCTCCCACTTTCTCTGCTTCTCTCCTTAGTCTATTCTCAACATGACAGCAGAAGTCAGGTCCTATCAATCATTGGCTAAAAATGCCCTAACTATTCCCCATCCTACTGGGAGTAAAATTCAGAGTCCTTACCGTGGCTGGAAGGTCCCACATGAGGGACCCTTCCTGCCCTCATCCCTACCACTTTCCCCTCACTCCTGCTCCAGCCACCTGGGCCCTTTGCTGACCCTCCAACATCCCAGCCCGCTGCCACCTTCAACCTCTGCACAGGCTCTCTGATTGGAACATTCCCCCAGAGTGCCCCAAGACGATCACTCTCAATTTCCTTCAAATCTTGCTTAAGTGTTACCTTTTCAAGAAACCCTATTTAAAATGCCACCCTGCTGCCCTCCAACCCTTCTGACCATTGTTACCCTACTTTTTGTTTTCCCCTTAGCATGGCATCTTCTAAGATACCATGTTATGATTTGCTTATTTATATTTATTGTCTGTTGTCTCCCCACCCCCAATCCCAAGAGCCTAGGAGGATGCCTGGTACATAATAAGCACTCAACAAATATTTCTTGAATATATGAATTTCTGGGAAGGATCAAATGGCTTTGATTGAATTATCAAAAGGTTTTGTCATCCAAAACCCATTAAAAAAAAAAAAAAGCAAACCCTTCCAAGGACTGAAGCTGTGTGAAAACAAACCTACCCTTTGTTCCAGTCCTCAAAGAGCCTTTCTGAGTAGGGACACAGCAACAGAACCAAATATATATCGCCCCTGGTTTTTCCCAGTTCTCTCTTGACTTGGTAGTGTTGGGGGTCCCCTTCCCTGGTCTCAGAAGGCACTGAATGCCAGCTGGGCAGTGGCTTTCAGAGGCCGAGAGAGTTGCCCGAGCAGCAGAACAGAGAGGACAGAGACCGTGAGATTTACCACACAAGTGGGCACTGTATGTGGAGTACATGCTGGGAACAATGAGAACAGCAGTAACTACAGAACAGAAAATAATGATCTTTGAAATGACAACAAACGGAACATGTTATCTAAGTACTAACACAGAAGGAGATGGCTATCTGCGTTCTGGTGGGCAGGTCCTCAGGAGAGAGGAGCTGACTTCTTTCCAGGATGCCTGCTCTTCAGTCCTTGTAACTTTTCATCTTTCAGTGCCTTCAAGAATTTATCTGTGGGAGAGCCAAACAAATTTAGCGGTAGTTGAGATGGGGCTTTTCCTAACATTTCCAAAGCAAACTTCTGGGAAGCAAATGTATGCTCCCTACATGAACCCTAAATCCATTCTGATCCAAGATGGGTGGGAAAAAAAACCCTTAACAGCGAAAACACATTTAAGTGGAGAATATGTAGTTAAGAAATCCAGGACTTACAAAAGCCCAGGCTTTCTAGGGAGTGTTTTCTTTCTAGGGATTGTTTCTGTGGGGAAGGAGGCATTACAGCATGCCTGATGAGTTGGAGACCATTCCCATACATATTTAGATTTTGTACTTCCTATCCTGTGTGGCAGGGGGGCCAATTTAACCTGTGTTATACAGTAGTGAGGATAGCCTTTCTAGAACCATCTGCCCTCCTCTGGTGGCCAAGTGCAAGCCTTAGCCAGACCAGGTGATGGGAAAGACAAAGTCTGCAGGACAGCCTAGAGCTACTGAATAGTCTACAGGGTAGTAGGTCCGTCTGGGAGTGCAACCGGATTTAATGATTCTAACCTCCAACAGGGAGGAATCTATCAGCTTAATTGCCAGAGGAATCCCGCCCATTACCAGCACACTCGGTCTGCCCTGGTCCAGATCTCTAAGACTTCAGACCAAAGATCAGATGGAAAAGACTAGGAATCTGGTGAGAGGGCTACCCTTTCTCCCGTAGCCAGCGCCAGGGGTCACGGGGAGGCTACCTTCCAACATTGAGAAGTGGAGAGTCCCAAAGCCCCAGTGAACTTCTTTGGGCATCCCGGGTCTCGTAAAATTCCCACCTCCTCTTACAGACACCCCTCTGACTCACCTACTTGCCCCTCCTCCCATTGAGGACCCCAGCTAAGATAAACACTAAAAGTCAGCTTCCTCTAGAGAAAGGGGGTGTCTGAGGTCGGTGGAGCTTGAGGGGTGGGAGTATTACTACCAGGAGGCTTAAAGTTCAGAATGGGGGTTGTAGTGGATGATGGAGTTTCAGGTTTGGAGGCTTAAATTTCAAATTACCGAAATGGCTCAGAGGGAGAGGGAGGATGTAGTTTGGGGTGAAAGGGTCCATGAAGTCCATTCTACAGTGGGGCAAGGAGTAGGTTGAAATCTGGGATGGAGGAATCTATTTGGGATCTGGGACTTTTGCGGGCTGAAGTCTCAGCCCGGGGCCCATTGCAAGATAGGGGATAAGGGGGACTTAGGGCCCAGGAAAGAGTCAAGGTAGGCTAAGGGTGGGCTTGGGCGGCCCCCGCCAGGTCACGCACAGCGCTGGGAGTCGAAATCGTCCCCAGTGATGGTGAGCAGCTCCAGTTCCTTAATCCGGATCTCTAGCTCGCACAACTCCTCCGGGTGGGAGGCAGAGGCGAGCCAGGGGGTCGCGGGCACCAGGGCCGGAGGCGAGGCAGCCACCTCGGGTCCCGGCGGCGGCGAGTAGAAAAACCGCAGAGGCTCGTAGGGGATGGAAGCCAGGCCCGAGGGCCAGGGCGGGGAACAGAGGTGCTCGCCGGGGGGACCCAAGCCTGGTGGCGGCGGCAGCGGAAGCGCCTGGAGCAGAGGACGGTCCCCCGCCGCCCCGCCCGCCGCCAGCGGCACGAAGAGCTTCTTCCAGATGTTGAATTCGCTGAGCGAAGATGAGGAGATGCCGCGGTCGTAGAGGGACGGGAAGTAGAGCGGCGGGGAAGCCCGCTGGCTTATCGTGGCGCTCGCGCTGCCGCGTCTCCCCTTCGGCATCTTTTGAATGGGAGGCTGCGTGCGTGAGAGGAACCCCGCGCCAGGAGACGCGAGCCCGGCCCCGAGTCGCCGGCGTTCCGAGGTTCCACAGGCCACGCCCCGTGGGTGTGCGGCCCCACCCTTCCGCCTCAGCCCCGCCCCGAATAGACGGGGTCAAAAGTAAGGTCGGCCGCGCCCCAGAACGTGGCTGCGCCCATTGGTGGCCGGCTGCGTCCCTCGAGTGAGAAAGGAGCGCTGAGTGGCGGGAATGGGGAGTTTGGCAGGCGATCCCTAAAGCACGGGCCTAACTAACCCGTAGGGTTTCGTTCCGCCAGGCGATCGCCCAGCAGCCGGGATTACAGCACTCGCAGTCCTCCAGCCCCCGCCCAGTCTCGCTCCTCGACTGCTCCCACCGTCCTTAAATTTTTCGCTTACGTGCTTTCGCGTCCCTGGCTCCCGCTCTCACATCCCAATACAGCCTTATACAAGAGCAGGAAGCAGGTTTCTGGCCAGAACCGCTGAGCCTTTCTTCAATCTTACCCTCCTTTTATAGAGAGAAAATATTTCCTAGAAAATCTGTCCCCTGCCACAACAGACTTCACCAGACCTCACCACCCCTCGTTGCAAAGAAGTCTGGGAAAATGCCCAACTTTTCATCCTCTACTACGGGAGGCAAAGAAGAGAGTTCATTGGAAATGGCTATTAGAGCCAACCCATGTTTCTGCCAGATTTCCGAGTGATGTGGAAGATTCTGGAATAAGGGACCCTGGTATAGATGTATAGTAGATCTGAAAGAGTATCTTCAATGAACTGCAGTTTAGTTCTCTTCCAAACACATTATCAGGAGCTAACAAGCAACAAACTAACCATCAAAAGGAAATTCTGCTGAAGCCACACAACTCACCCATCCTTTCTGAGTGACCTGGAAAGAACATAGGATATGCCCATCTCATTTGCATGGGTAGCCTGTATTAGTCATAGACTGAGGGAACGTAAGTTTCCATGAAAGCCTTATCCTAATGATAACTGACATGAATGAACAAAGATGGGTGGGGGCCAGTTTAGACTGTTGCTCAGTCAAGGTTTGAGTCAGTACTAGCTCCACAAGCAAATTCTCTGTCTATACACACACACACACACACACACACACACACACACACACACACACACACACACACACACATACATATAGCCTTATACATATGCTATATACAGGTGTGTGTCTGTGTGCATGCATGTGTGTGTACAGCAGAGAAGCAGTCGGACTGTCAAGCTGGATATCTTTGAGCAAGTTGCCTGACTTCTAAGACAGTTTTTTGTAGAACAGAGGACAAGTCTGCCTCATATGGTTGTTTCTGGTGCTCAAATAGAAGACAGAATGGTGTATGTGAAACACTTGTAAACTTAGAAACTGTCCAAATATAAGGGACAGCTATTGCCACAAAGGGGGTTGTCTGAAGCTGAGAAACTTTTTCTTCTCATACTTAGTGGTAAACTCCTTAGGGACAAGGATCCAACCAAGGGATCCTGAAATGCGAGCATGATAGGACTCAGTAAATATTTGGGAACTTATAAGGCAGTGTTTGTTATGTGTTGTGTGAACCGAGGGGATCCAAATATTCCACCCCCCAAATATGCCACTTTGGCATAATGATATTTAAAGCTGAAGACAATTGAGAAAGAGCAGGCACAGCAGGAACTCTTTGTCCTCCCCCTATCTGCCTAAAGACAGGGCATACATTTCCCTATATAAATAAAGTAACATAAATTTCTCTTCCTGAAGGTGTCCTCTTTCCCTCTCCCATACCAGTAAGAGATGATTCTCTCACTGGAGATGGCACTGACTTGCCTCTGCATAACAGACCTTACCAAACTACACTTACCTCCTACAAGTTTCCCCCCAAAATTTACCTTCCCACAATTTACAGCCCCTAGAAGCCCAAATCCCTTTTCCTTCGTCTTGTCATTTCTCTGCAATTAATCACCCTTTGTTAAAATGGTTTCTAAACTTTAAAGTTTAATCATTTCTTTGGGTTTTCACTTTTCTGTGAGGTCCCCATGTGCAGGCATAATAAATCTTTTCTCCTGTTAATCTGTTTTTTGTCAGTTTAATCCACCTGACCCAATTACTGAACCCAAGAGAGTCCAAGAAAAGTTTTTTTCCCCATCCCTACAGCGCCATAGCAGTGAGAAGAGTGAGGATTTAGGTCTCACACCCTAGGACTGAGCCCTGGATCCATTCTCTACTTGGCTGTGTGGGTGAACCTCCCCGAACGTGTTTTTCATCTATAGAGGGGGGAACAGTAATGGTACCTACTTGTCTGGAATGGCAAGACTGAATAAGACAATCTAAGTGCTTGGCCATGGTAATTGCTCATCTTATTGCATGATATGCATGCAAATGTTAGCTCTTGGTATTGCATATTGAAGATCCTTACAAAAGAAAGAGATTTTGCATTGTTTTTTAAATGATGCAATATAATCACATTTTTACTCTAAATATCCAAAGAGAAAAGGCATACAGATTATTTCCCTTAACTCCAAGATAACCTAAACAGATTGTATAACTGGATGGTTCAATTATAGCATAATTGTGATATTGTAGATGGTGGGTTAAAAAAGAAGTTGTTTTCTCTAACAACCACACAATGAGAGAACTCGGGTGCCACAATGAAAAAACACTGCAATAAGCCCCAGTTTGGAGGTTAAGTCCACATGGGGTAATAACAAACCATGGTAGATAAGGCAAAACCCTACAGATTATTTCTGCAAACAAACGACCAGAAAATTCAAGTTGGTAATGAAAAAAGAGAGCAGGCTTGCATCCTCTTTAATCAGAGCCTTTCTTTCTCTCCCTGGGCTCTAAAGCATTTGTATCACCTACCTCTCCACTCAAACTCCCCATTAAGAGCCATCGTTTAGAGGTTCAAGGGATTCAATTCCTAACACCCCTGCTCCCTGCCTGCATTTGACACCAACTGAGGGGGCACACATCAGTCCTTTCTCACTGAGGAAGGTCAGTTGGAGGATACGGCTTTTATGTCTGGTAGCCAGGTGGGCTTGTTACTACTGCACCTGTGATATGAGCTCACCCATCCAGCCCAAGGCCTGGTGGGAAACCCATGGGCCTTATCCACAGGGAAAGGGCTTCTACTGGCACAGTGAAGAGCAGGCCAAGGACAGGCCTGGTCCTTTCTCCAGCCAAGCAGGGCAGCCGTTTCTTCACTCTCAGGAGAGAGGCCAGGAGTATCACTTTTAAGAAATGTGGCACAGAAGGGTGGAGGTTCTCCCAAACACTCTGACTTGAACTGTTTAACCTACGCTGCCTCCCTGCATTTGGGGTTTATAATTTCCCATTGCCACGGCCATCTCTAGCCGGGAAGTCCTGGGAGGACCTGGGATGCTGTTTGCCTGGTTCCCTCAGTCATCAGACTGCTAGAGATGGTACAGCAAGCCTCGTCCGGACTTGGTCCCATCACATTAGCTTTGCATCTGGACACACTGCCAGGGATCACACCTTAACCAGGTTCTCGGCCTCTTTAGGAGTATGTCATGATTTGCCTTGCCTGACTTGGCTCTGGACAGCTTTTAGGGATATGTAGAGCTTCTGGCTTGGAATACAACAGAGGTGTCTTGGAGCGAAGGTTTGTGTCCACCCCTCCCAAATTCATATATTGACATCCTACCCCCCCACCCCAAGGTAAGGGTATTAGGAGGTGGGGGCCTTTGGGAGATGATTAGGTCACAAGGTTAGAGCCTCCCAAAATGACACTGTGCCCTTAGGAAAGAGGCCTCAGAGAGTTCCCTTGCTCCACCACCCACCACACACCATGTGAAGACACAGTAAGGAGACGGCATCCAGGAACCAGGTAATGGGCTCTCACCAGATGCCAAATAGGCTGGAGACTCGATCTTGGAATTCCTAGACTCTAGGACTGTGAGAAATAAATGTTTGTTGTGTAAGCCACCCAGTCCATGGTATTTTTGTTATAGCAGCCCTAATGGACTGAGTCATGTTTGAATTCATGACTCTTTGTGACTCTCGGAAAGTCATGTCAGCTATCTGAACCTCAATCTTCTGAGCGATAAAATGAAAAAAATATGTACTTCACAAGGTTGATGTATTTGATGAAAATATGTATAAGCAGTACCGGGAACACATAGTGAGAACTCAATAAAGTATGGGTATGATTGTTATACAGTTATACATGAATTCCTTAATTCACCATTAAGCCTGAAGAATTGATAAAGTAGGTATGGGGGTTCCTCCTAGAAAACCAAACCCACTCCAGATAAGTTAGCAAGCCCTACACCCTAGAAACTGATCACTGATCACCTGTTATCTGCTGAGGTGATAGTAACACATAAAGAGAGGTGACTCTGGGCCAGGTACTTGTCTTAACTCATTTATCTTCCTAACAACCATAAGTAGTAGATACTATTATCACCATTTTCCACATGACAAAACTAAGACATGGAACTTGCCTGAGGTCCTGTGGCTGGTCAGGATCTGAGCCTGCCCTCCAAACAGGCAGGCGGGCTCCAGTGCCCAGTCCCTTCCCATCCCTCCCACAGCCTCCCCACAGCCCCCAGCCCTTGGGCCAAGCCCTCTCTCCTGGCCTCTGGCCTCCCATCCTCTTCCTGGCAGGGGACTGGCTCTAATTGGAAGTTGTTTGTACTCCAATTCTAGGAAGCTCCAAACAGTCTTTTCTTTATTTCTCATCTGAACTGACCATTGTGTTGGTCCAGACATGAGGGCCCAGGCATTCCCACCTCCCTTCACAATACCCACTATTTCAACAAAGTTTCTAAAAAATGCAATCCAGCCCTTACTCTTGTTTCTCTTTCACAGATGTGTTCCTATGTACTTGCAGAGTAAGCAAATATTTTTAATCAACTGAAGCGTGAGAGGCAGTTTCATGGAATGGAGAGTGCCGGTCTTGGAAGACCAAACAGTATCAACTTGCTGTGGCTACATGATTGTAGCTAGTGCTTACTGACCACTTGCTATCACATGTTCTCATGCTATTTTGACAATAACCTGCACAGGGGCAGGTCTGGCAGAACTTTCTGTTCACCAGCAATAGAAATTGATACT